TGTAGTCGTCAAAGGTTTTGACTGCGGCGTGTTAGCTGTTGCTGTCAGTAAGCAGCATAATACGATACACGTACCGTGGTCATCGGGATCAGCGTGGAACAGCTGCCTGAAGATCAGGGTGTTTGTCGTGCTCCGGCTCGTCCACATGTCCCAGAGCTCATCACCCAGCGGATCCTCAACCATGTTCCACGACTCGTCCTGGTCGCCCACATCATTGGGAGAGTCTTCACCCGGTGGCTGAGCGTTGGGATCTCCGCTGGCATCCAGGTCCTGGGGCGGCAAGAGCCCAAGATGCTCTCTCCACAGATATCTTCTGAGGGTCGCGGCGTGGTATCCCGCCTCAAACGGCTTGCCATCCATCGTCGACGTGAATGTCCTGGTGTCTTCCATCACCACACTCAGCTCGCTGTCATGGTACCCCAGCTGACTCCGGTCATTGAGGTTGCTCGACCCGCACACCACAACACGGTCGTCGGCAATCAGGAGCTTGGCGTGGATGTAGAGCTCTTCCTGGATCCAGTGGTTGACCTCATCCTCGGCCTCTCCATCCCAGGCCACGGTGGACAGCGGGCCCACGCCGGCCATGGCGTGGTGTGCCACGGTAAAGGGGGACTCGGTATCCTTGTCGCCCCTCCTCGCTGCCTCAAATTTCCGCTTGGTCTCCTCGGAGATATTCCCATGATTCTCGGATCGTGAACGAGTCATTCCATTGACGGCACCCTTTTGCTCGTCGATCTTCCCCATGTGTGAATCGTGGCCGCCATGTTCATCGACAGTGCCGTGAATGCCCTCTGCCATCACGTCTTCCGCCTCGGCTCGCTGGAGATCCTGGTACTTGACCCCCGACTCCTCTTCCTGCTTGCGGATCCCTGGCGTCTTGTTGAGTCGGTCGTAGCTTCGAAGGTTGAAGAAAAAGATGTGCTGGGTGGGGTCGACGCCTTCCTTGCGAATCTGCTCAAAGATGCTGTGCTCTCCGCGGCAGATGGACTTGTATTGGTAGTCCATGATGGCTCTCGTGCCAATCGCGCCGTCTTCCCTCAGGTCGCCGGCGAACCCAGGAACGGCAGGAATGATGATGATGATGCGGAATTTCCGGCCCTCCTTGGATGCCCGTACAACGGCGTCGACGATGGCGCGGCCGATTTGGTTGTGAATGGGATTCTGCTGGTCGCCCGTGGCGGTGATGAAGAATTGGTTCTCAATGTAGACGTAGTGCTGCGCGTTGCGGATGATCTCGGTGTAGGCGTTTTGGATCGAGTGCTCCGTTAGGATGCCGCTCGACCAGTCGGTGCTCGACCGCACCACCTGCACCTTGAGGGTCCCACGGTTTTCCAAGCTCTTGTTAGACAATGGAGTCAGGGGATGGACGACATATCCGCCGACGGGATGCTTCGGACGCTGTACACCGACGAGGTCTTCGTCGTCGCCCTGGCGCCCTCGAAGTTCCAGCCATTCGAAGCGTTTGTCGCGCTTGTACTTGTCCCGCTTGACAAAATTCCAGCGAAGGACAAAGTGCTCGGCAATATCGTAGACGCTTGGCCCAATCAACCCCATGGACACGTCGTGCCATGGCATACGGCCGTAGTCGGCCTTGCTCAGCTCGTTCTGTTTCCAGTCCTGCACATTCTTAAAGTCCATGACGCGGTTGTTGTTGAAGTCCTGGCCGGGCCAGACCTCGTTTTCGACGCCTTCGGGGTGAACATCCGAGAGGGCATGCTGGTGGGCGTCCCAGCGGCCAAAGCACAGGTCCAGACCGCCGACAAAGGCCATCTCGTAGTCGATGACGATGAACTTTTCGTGGTGTGCCCAGTAAAAGGTCATGTCGGCCGCATTCTCGAGGACGTTGTGGTCTGGGTGACGCATAATCTTGATGTTTCCAAATCCAGGGGAGCCCTCGGGACAGAGGGCCTGCAAGGCATGTTTGGTGTGCTGCGAGTTGCAGGTGATGGCGGCCTCGACTTCGCGGTACACAATGACAAAGATCTTGACACCAGCCTCGGCGCGGCGCTTGAGGATTTTGTCGAGGCGCCATTCCTTGTTGGAGTGGGGGGGTCGGCGCAGGAACAGCTCGGGGGAAAGCCACCAGTCGGCAATGTAGATTGTTTCCTTTGCTCTTTCGAGGGCTTCAGAGACGGCCCAGAAGTAGTCGCGGCCGTCGACGTACCACTTGACCATGTTGCCATCGCGCTCTGGGAAGAAGGAGTCGAAGCGGTGCGACTGGGATATCTTTGTGCGCTTGTCGTCGCATGCCTTTTCGTGTTCCTCGTCATGTCGGTGTTGGGGGTTGAACTGGTCGGCTAGTCAGTGGTGGGTGGGTAGGGGATGGTGGGCTGGAAGAGGGCATACCAGGTTGGCAAACTTGCCAATCTTGTGCCTGCGAGGTAGGTGTCAATGGGGTTGTTGTAAATGTCAACAATAATGGAGGCCATACTTTTGGTGGATGAGATGGATCTTGGCATCTTCCAGATGCAAGTGATGGAGCTTATCCTTGATCTTGCCGAGGGCGCCATCGTGGTGATGGTCGTCGCCATTGGAGTTGGTCATGGTGACGGACGGGTCTTGGCAGGGGAGCCTGGGGAGGGCGGGTCAGGAGGGACAGGATGGGCAGAGCTGAAGATTTGCAGATCGACTCTCGCGCATTGGAAGAGACGGAAGGCTCTTGGTCAATAAGCTTCTACGGTTGTAGATCGAGAAGAAAAAAGGATTCGAGAAGACGCAAGCGGTCGGGGGCACCCGAGGTTGTTAAAACAAGAAAGGTCACTCGCCGGGTCGACGAGAGAACCAAGCTTCGGGGCCATTGTGGCCATTGTGTATCGTAAAAAAGGTGAATCTCGGATAATCGGCCATGTTCAGCAGCACGCCATGGCCATTTTACCATTGAAGCGACCAATTGAATGGTGGCTGTAGTGTGCGCAACAAGACGGAAGGTGCTTGTCGGTGTCCTCAGGGACAGGTTCGGTCAGATGTTAGTGTGGTGTTGTAGAAGTGACGTCATGGCTTGGGGCAGGTGTGGTGTGGAAATCGAACTCTCCAAGCAAGCAGCCGTGAACTTGTGAGCCGTGTTTGCCGTGCACCCGTCCATCAGGGTCTCTCGTTTCCAAAATTGAGGCTGAATATGCTCCTGTGCCAAGATTTGTGTCCATGCCTCCAAATATCGTCCCTTGGATGACCACATCTTCCGTTTGTCGATGGCGTTCAATGTCTGGCTGACACGTCGTTTGACTTGACTGGATTGAGAGGATTGAGGCCTACCTCGGCGTAGGTATCCTTCTCAGTCACCATGGATGCCACAACCCGACGAAAGGAGTCCTTCAATTGATCTTTTAAATAGGTAGTCAGATGCCCACAACTTGGAGTCATGTTCCATCTCTTCTCTTTTTCACAAGTCCACAAAAGTACGGAGTAGTCAACAGGTCAACATTACCCCTGGCGAGCTGCACGTGATCCAAGCTGTGCCAAGTCGCATCGACACCCAACTTCCAAGTGCGGGGGCGGGGTTCAGCCAACCGATAAGCGGGGATGTTCAGCTTCGCCCGCCAGCACCAGCTCCTGCTGCTGGTGGGGCTTCTCCTCACTGTTCCAGGCCTCGTGTTGACCGCCAACTGCTGTCACTCCCTGTCTCACCCGTCTCCCCAGCCATCAACCCCGACCTGCCCCCTCGCCGACCTCTCTCACGACACCCTCGAGTACAACGCCCCGAACGAACCAGACACCACCAACATGGCCGCCGTCGCACAGATGCCCGCGGGGGCAACCCACACCCACCTGCAGGCCATGAAGCGCACCTTTAACAATGTGCCCGTGGCAGCCGACAACGCCATCTCGACCGAGGAGTTTCTCGAGGCCGCCGAGTCCCTGACCACCATATTTGGTATGACCTGACCTACCCCTTTTCTCTTGCTCGTGCTTGACCGAGAGCTGACGGCGCCAACCAGATCTCCTCGGCTCGGTCGCTTTCTCCCCCGTCAAGAAGGACATGCTAGGGAACGTCGAGGTATGGATGCAGCTACCCAATTGCCCCTTCGGGTGTTCCTCAACTGACCACGTCTACCCAGAAACTCCGAAAGCGCTACCTCGCTGCCCCCCTCGAGTCCAAAACCGTCCAAGACCTCGTCCGGAACGAGCTCAAGACCAAGGCCCACGTCGCCACCGAGGGGCTGGTCTGGCTGGTTAGGTGAGCCCAACGACGGCCCAACACACACAAGCTTGTCATGCTGACCTGCCCCACAACAGAGGCCTCGAGTTCACCAGCCTCGCCCTCAGCCAAAACATGGCCAAGCCCACCGAGGAGCTTGCCGACTCGTTTCGCGGCGCCTACGGCTCTACCCTCAAGCCCCACCATGGCTTCCTCATCAAGCCCATCTTCAGTGCTGCCATGAGCGCCTGCCCGTACCGCAAGGACTTTTACCACAAGCTGGGATCGGGTGGCGAGGAGGCCCACGTCCAGGCGGAGCTTCAGGAATACCTGGCCGCCCTCGAGAAGATTGTGGGCATTCTCAAGGAGTTCCTGGCGAGCAAGGAGGCCAAGTGGTAAAGGACCATGGAAGTCGCAGTGGAAGTAAGTGTGGGAATAGCAAAATATTGGCGATATTGTCTGTTATGTTATTAGCGAAACTGATACGGAATGCGGATGCGATGATCTTCCACGGGCAGCTTGGCCGAGGCATTGGTTCTGCCATCACATCGTATTCGGGATCACCTTGTGTGCTTTGGTAGCGGGACTTCATTTGGGGTGAATGTGACTTTGGCACCCTGAGGTTCTCAGTTCTGTCATTGATGTTGCCAGACTGTCCTGCAACCTGCACACCTTTCCCAGGGGGGCGCCAAGATGTGCGCACTGCCGTGGTGTAAGGATTCAGGGGTAAATAAACAGTCGGCCACTGCCCCCCGAAGAGAGCAAGGAAAACACGGACGAACAGGAGGGAAAAGGTGTAAAAAACGAAGAGCCCCTGCTTGGCTCGGTCAACAAAGGTGGCCTTTTGGGCAGGGGCAAAAAGATACGCTCACGGCGAGACTCGAACTCGCAACATTCAGATGTCAGAAGATTATTTCATAAAAGTCTGACGCGCTAGCCGATTGCGCCACGCGAGCACGGACCAATTATGATAAATGTACGACCAGAAATCAGAGCATATGAGCCCTCGTCGTTCCGTTCCGCGTGTTTGGCAGCACGTTCCTCGTTCTTTTCTGTCTTCGTCAAAACTCAAAACCTTCCATCCCTCAACACGCGCCCGATCCCGACCTACAGCCGCGCACCGATACCAATGCTCACATCGACACCACACGTTCAAGAGAAAAATGATGCGATCGTGTGGCGCGCCGATCCCGATCACGGCGCCATCACGCCATCCGAGATCCGGGGGTTGAGAGGTCTCGCGGCAACTTGATCTCGGTCAAATCTTTAAGCGCGTCGTCCCCGGCACCCCGGATTGAACCCAGTTGTTTCAGGTCTCTCGCGGTGTGTGGTCCAGACCAGATCTGGACTTGCCTGGCTGGGAGAGATCGACATGCACGTTTGTGTATTCGGGCCAGAGGGTTCAAGTGGTGACGGCTTGGGTCGGATTGAGGAGGGACTGGACATCATGGACACAGGGCGCAAACACCGATGGCAGCGATCACAACACCATGCGTGCCGGCAGTGCAACAGAGGATGTACTGTGTACACAGCCGCTTCTCATTGCCAGCATCGCCGAGGCCTTGCAGCGGATGCGACGTCTCATTGCATAACCTTATTCCAACCTCTCTGGAGAGGTGTGACCCCCACAAGCTTGGCGGCGGCAGATGAAGAGCAAGGAACGCTGGTTCGGGAGAGTAACCGGCCTTCATGCATCGCCCCGGAGGCGTGCCGATCAACCCCGGCCCCGACGATGCCGCTAACCACTACCGGGGCCGTGACAAGAACAACGCCCCTTTAGGAACACACGTTCGAGGCCAATCGGCCCTGTTGATGCCAACCGCGTACGTCTCTGACCCTGAGAGCAGCCAGCTATGATGATCTCTTCCAGAGTCAGCTTCAACGTGCTCCAAACCAGAGACTTTGCCCTCTCAACTCCAAGATGGCACTTCCATCAGGCACGATGGTATCATCAGTTCATTCAAGCACGACAACACTGTTGCTGGCACATCGTGGGCCCGGTGTTGAGAGGAAGTGTCATGGCGGCGGGCGAGGATTTGAGAAGGTATAAGTACGACCCAGGCGACCACCCAATACCCTCAAACTCTCTCATCACGCAGCAGAGTTCTCCCAGAACCATCCACTCTTTCACCTACAGACCGGGCCGTTCGAACCCGACCACACTCTTTACCCTCTTTCATCTTCGCAATGCATACCAGAGTTCTGGGCTTTGCCCTGCTCGGGCACTTGGTGTCCCACCTTGCCTCGGCCGGTCCTATGACGGAAAAGAGACACCCCCTTGACCTCGCCATCACGCCTCTCCTCCCCAACGTCCCGCTCAGCAACCCCGCCCTCCCCATTGTCCCTGGCGTCCCCGGCCTCACCACTCCCGTCGGCACCAGCAAGGAGAAGCGGAACCCCCTGGGCCTCAGTCTCCCGCCTCTGATCCCCCAGATCCCGGGTGTGACGGTCCCGCTGCTCGCCGACAACCAGATCCCCCTCCCTATCCTCCAGCTTCCGACCCCTCCTCTCGAGAGCCCCCCCTTCACCGCATCCTCGATCAAGCCCAAGAAGATTGGCTACTTCTGGACCGGCGCCGGCGACAACAAGCACAAGGACTTCCTCGCCACCGTCAGCCTCGACGACGACACCTTTGGCACCATCATTGACGTGACCGACGTCCCGACCAGTGGCAACTCGCCTCATCACCTCGGAACCTCCCTCGATGGCAAGCAGCTGATCGGCGGCGGCCTTCTCTCCCTCCTCAAGACCCAGGACACGGCCTTCTACTTCGACGTCAGCAACCCGTACAGCCCCAAGTTCACCCACTCCAACCGCGCCGTCCTCAGCTCCATCGTCGACGAGATCCGCGCCAAGCCGGACGGTGGCTTCTTCATCACCTACATGGGCTCCGCGCTCGGCACCTCCCCGGGGCGCCTCGTCGAGACCGACGCCGCCGGCGCCATCACGCACGAGTGGCCCGAGGACGTCAAATCCACCCTCAACATCCTCGGCGAGCAGTTCTCCCCGCACGGCCTGACCATCGATTTTGACGCCAACATCGGCATCACGTCCGACTTTGTCGTCCCCCTGTCCGTGCTCAAGCCCACGCTCGGCATCGAGCGCGCCAACACCCTCCGCCTCTGGAACATGACGGAGCGCACCATCATCTCCACCATCACCATCCCCAACGGCCAGGGCATCCAGGACGTCAAGTTCATCCCGGGCAACCCCGAGCGCGCGGCGCTGGCGACGGCCGTCGGCCCCGGGCAGGTGTGGATCATCTACCCGTTCCGGACCCGCGAAGACGGCACGCAGGGCGTCGCCGAGCTGCTGTACGACCTCGGCGACAAGGCCAAGGACTCGATGGCCATCTACTCGGACATCTCGGACGACGGCAAGTGGGCGTACTTTACCATCACGCTGGGGAACCACGTCGCGGCGCTGGACATCTCGGACCTGGGCAACGTCAGGCGGCTGGACGACCCCGCCGAGGCGCAGCCCATCATCGGGCCGCACTACGTCAAGATCTCGCCCGACAAGAAGAACTTGCTGGTGCTGGGGTACTTTGTGCAGGCGGGGGACATTTCCGTGTTGAATACGCCTGGGGACTTTAAGGCGCATTGGCTGGATATTGCTGAGGATGGGAGCCTGAGCTTTAACAGGACGGTTGACTTTGAGAGGGAGTTTGGGGTGAGTCGGGGCGGGGCGAGGCCGCATTCCGTGGTGATTTTTGATCTGACGGATCCGGAGAAGCCGGTGTATTACTGAGTGGTGGGGGTGTCTGGATGGGGGTGGGCTCGGGGTGGTTGGTTGGGGGCCCGGTTGTTGTTGGGGGGGACGGTCTTGGTTTGGCACTCGCTATTTTCTTTTTGTTTTCTCTTCTTGTGTCGGGCTCCTCGGGGCCTGCAATGTTTGGTTGGATTTATATTTTTTAGTCTGTAGCACCTTTAATGTCATGACAATCTTCAAGCGCGAGACCAGAGGGCCGACGTCCTTGCCACGTCGGCAAGGGCCTCCAGCAATCGCATGATCTTTGGAACGGCCGATGGGACGTCCCGCACGCCGCCGGCTCTCGCCTTCCTCCTCCGCGAAGCTGGCCCCACCGCTTGACTCTCCATCATCCGAGCCTCCTTTCTTTCAACCAGCAACAGCCACATCCGATTGAACAGCGCCGTCACATCATGGCGTCAATCAGCCTCGCTCCTCGCGATGTATCTCGCCTGCATCTTCGGATACAGGGGCCATGAGACGGTCGGCGGCGGGATGGATCCACCAGGGCACATCCTTCTTGTCGCAGCCGTTCGGGGCGAAGCCACGGCGGCAAGGGGCAGGGCTGCTCTCCGCGGGTGTGTGCGACGGTTCGCCGGCCGGTTAGTCCATTCGGTGACGTTTTCTGCGGGCGTTCTCGTCCCCCGCTCTTATGCTCCTATGATGATACCTACCTAGGTATGATGGCTGAAAGATCTCTCCGCCCAGGCCAATGTGTTGACTCCCATCGCCTTCAACGTCAACGCCATACGTGCCGACCCGACGACGCCCCTCGGCCAAATCTGGCTAGAGATCTAGGAGACTCCCAGATTCTTTATGAAGAAGCATGTCGTCGATGCCCTCCTCGTGGATACCCTCAACCAATTCGCCATGGGCGATATGGGCGGACAAGCCTGCCACAAAGATGGTATCTCGATGGTGACGTAGGGGTTTGTGGGGGGGGGCTGCCGGGCCAAAGTGTGCGTCCATGCTGTCCATCCCGGCCCGCATCCCTTGCGCATCGTACGGTGCGGCGGCGGGGGGGGGAGGCAGGGTCCCCCTCAAACAGAGCCCGTGACCTCGGTTGTAGGATGATGCATCACCACCACCACCGACCATCCATATTACCTACCCGAAGACATTGCCATAACCATGCTCACTCCAGCCCCATCGCCTTCATCTTCTCCTCCATCTCTTCCTGAAACTTCACCCTAAGGCTGTTCTTCTCTGCCCCCAAAGCCTCTTCCATCAGTCTGAGCGTAACGGTGTTGGCAATGCTCGCAATGGTGTCCCTGTCCTCAAGCTCCTTTCTCATCTCCTTCAGCTCCTTCTTCAGTCCATCGATCTCCATCTTCTAGCTTTAGCTTCATGCAATCCATATAATACAATCCAATACGACCCCTTACAATGAAGTATCCAGTGTCATCAACCCCACGTATCCACGCTTTGGTCTGTGTCTAAGCTCGAAGCGATGCAAGTAAAGCACGCATCCTTCAGGGCCTCCCTCTAGGTTGTTAACCTTAAAGACTGTGCCAGGAAGCAATAGCACAGGGGGATGAGAGGTACTGTAATACAATAGTGTGAAGGTGACGTTGTGCTGGGAGACATGGAGCTGGATGGGAATTGAAGGTGTTGCAGTATCGAGTTAGGGGGGACGTTCCTCCATCGCGATAGTTTGACTCTAAACGGTGGCAGATTGACGAGGGATTGATGGAATAAACATGGTAGCTGGTTTCAGACATCGTCGGACGTGTGCATCGGATGTGGTTATCATGCTGACGACTTCAACATATCGTCCAGAGATGCACCGCCGGCGGTCTAGCTCCACGTCATGTACCCTCGGACGCCATGGAACATGCCATAAAACCAGAACATGACCGGAGGGCGAGGGAGGTCCGTCAAGTGCTTACGCATAAGTTGTTGTTGATGTTTTCTGTATCAACGACATATTAAACGTACTTGTCAGTGAAAATAGGTAAAAATGTATGTATATCCACGGGGAAAGAGCTGGACATACACACACAACTGGGGGAGAATGTGCATACATGGGAAAAGAGCCCAACGAAAAGAGCTCAACACTGACATGCAACATGCCGCTTCCATTCGGGAACCACATCCCTCTCTCGCAATGTCCTATCCCAGATTAAACTCGCTCGACGCATTCATCAAGTTCTTGAGCTTCTCCCTCATCCTCCTCGAGGCATCCTCGTCAACGACACCCACCCCA